CTACAGGCGCCCGCCATCTCGCCCGGCTAGTTTTTTGTATTTCTTAATAGAGACGGGGTTTCACCGTGTTAGCCAGGATGGTCTCGATCTCCTGACTTCGTGATCCGCCCGTCTCGGCCTCCCAAAGTGCTGGGATTACAGGCTTGAGCCACCGCGCCCGGCCGGTATAGCTCTTCAGATTGTGTTTTTTTCTAACCTTTTAGCATGCTTTATAATTTTTCGGTTGAAAGACAGACACGATGCATCAGGTAATAGGTAATTAGGCTTTTTTTTTTGAGACAGTCTTGCTCTGTGTCCACAGCTGGAGTGCAGTGGCACAATTTCGGCTCACTGCAACCTCTGCCTCCCAGGTTCAAGCAATTCTCCTGCCTCAGCCTCCCAAATAGCTGGAATTATAGGTGTGCACCATCACACTCGGCTAATTTTTCTGTTTTTAGTAGAGATGGGGTTTCGCCATGTTGTCCAGGCTGGTTTTGAACTCCTGGTGTCAGTGATCCACTCGCCTCAGCCTCTCAAAGTGCTGGGATTACAGGCATGAGCCACCATGCCCAGCTGGTAACTAGGCTTTTAATATGAGGCTTTATATTAATTTGGATAGGAGCTGGGCTGTATTTGAGGTTTACTGTAACTGTCATTGTTACCATTTTACTTTTTTGTATGTATTTATTTTTACCATTTAAGAAAATATCCAAATAGTTACCATTTTAGTGTTCCTACCAGTCACTGACCAGCAGCCTCTTCTCCCGGTAAGCTGACCTCAATTGTGAGTCTCTGTATTTGCCTGTCTCTCCAGGGTTTTGAGTGGTGGTTTGCCCTGTGACTTTAATTCTTCCATGGATCAAAGAAAAACCATTGATATTCCAATCTGTTCAGTTTTTTTATTTTGCTGTGAGGAGGGATGTGATGACTTCCAAGCTCTTTACATGTTGGAGCTGACACTAAAAGTCACCTACATACTTTTTCAAGTCCTTTCCCCATGTTTTTCTATAAAGCTCGCTAAAATAACCCTCTGTGGAGCCTTCCCTGACTTCTCTCTCTTAAATGAAGAGCTACTCTCTGTGTGCTCTAGTAGTTGGAGCAAATACAAGGATTAAACTTACTGTCTCTTGGCTCTTTGACTCTTTGGACGCCTGGAGAACAGGCATTATGACTCAACTTTGTATTTCTAGCATATGGCATAAATCAATGTCTGTTGAAGGAAAAGGGAACAAAATACTCTTCGCTAACTAAAAACAAAGTACTACTTTTATTTGGCTCATTTCTCCATTTATTGAATAACCACATTTGGAGAGGCATGAAGCACTTAAGTTTTACATGACTACAAAGTTATCACAAATCTCAAACTTTTTAGCCACAGATATTTCACCTCTGTTTAAAGAAAAAGCTTTCAAAACATCTGAGTTAGCTTAATACACAGAGAACCTGAAATATACGGGAACTACATATTTTTAAATGCTTGTACTTCCTGCTCTAATAATGTCTTCTTTAAACGGAATCCAGCATAAAAGGGATTGAAATGTATAAGGTCATGATGCAAATGCTTTGGAGATAGTGAAACTGATCTGCACAACATGGAAAAAGATGTCATGTGCACAGAAGTTCTGCAAGGATTCATTGAGCCATCTGGGCTTCCATGGCTTGTGCTGTCCATTCTGGTGCTGTTTGACTAATTTTCTCCAAAAGGTTATTCACTTGGAAACAAAGTGATTGGATCTGCTTGTCCCACGTTGGCAGGGCTTCTCGTGCTAAGGGGAAAAAAAATGTACAAAATTAAAATTATTCCTTTGTATTCACAGCAACTGTGAGTTAAAAGATACACACTTTTTACATGCCTATTCTTGGAGCA